TCAGCTCTCATCATGGCAAAGACAACACCAGAAAACATCCACGTATCCATATTCTAGGATAATAGAGTAAATAAAAATATTATAAATATCAAAACACATAAAATCGCTAAAAGAAAATTCAAAATTACAATCAAATTTATAGCATTAAGAACTTTACCTGTTGTATTTTTTGATAGCTGAAGTTGTTCTGCAGGACAGCAGCTTGAATGGTAAATGGTCTGTATTTGTACAGCGCTTTACACTACAGTCAGTCATCCACCCAGTCACACACACATTCACACACTGGTGACCAGTGGTGAATGTGTGTGTGACCACAATTCAGAGATGGTCCTGGTGTTTCACTGGGACGCTCTCTCCACATTGCAATGTGTTTATTAAACTCACTTCAAATCAAGCTCACTGGGTGTGTTGCAGGTTATTGTTAAAATTTCCATAACAAGCTTCTGTGAAGCACTTTGGGATTTTTATCTTTATAGGTGCTATATAAATAAAATTTTACTTACTTTTTTACTTACTCCTGATGAAGGCTCTCAGGGTCCTGTTGAACTTGTATAGTTCTAGGTATTCAGGTGTGGGGTATTGAGTCATAGGCTTCTTGTAGTCAATCCAGGCAGTCCACAGGTTGGTCAGTCTGGTCTTGCAGTCTCGGGCGACAGCTCTGTCTACCAGTGGCTGGTGTTTCACTCCTCTGGTATTCCTGCCAATTCGTTTCTGTGCCCCACTCATGTACTGATCCATGTGCCTGTTCCTCTAAGGCCCTATGATGCCTGACAGGAGCTTCCATGTGGTACTGAGGCAGGTTACTGACCAGTAGTTGGATGGGACCAGTCCCTTCTGTGGGTCCTTGGGGATCAGGAGTGTCCTGCCTTCAGCTAGCCCAGGGGTCTGCAACCCTCGGCTCCAGAGCCACACGTGGCTCTTTCATCCTTATACTGGAGCTCTGTGTGAATGGGAAAAATACATTATAAGTATTTAACTGAAGTGTTAGTTCTTTTTAGAAAGTGTAATTCTAACTTGGAAGATTATTGTGATCTTGAAATATTAAAATAAAATTATATTTTATTATTTTCATTGCTCAAAATAAGTGTCGCACTCACAGAAGCCTGTATATCCGCCAAAAGTCCATGCATTTATCGAGACTTTCAACCCCGGGTAGGCCAAGTATGAGGAAATGTAAGAAAAGAAAAATATCTTAAGAAAATAGAACATTTAATGATGCCTGGGCAGATGGAGAAGGCTGATCTGAGTAAAAATCAATTCAAGACGTGGATGAAGTCTGCAAATTCAACTATATATGCACATTTTGTGGCAGCTCAGGAAATAGTCAGGCATGGGAAGCTGTCCATGGACAGAGAATATATGAAGGATTCATTCATTAAGATTTCAGAACACCTAATCGCGGACTTTAAAAACAAGAGAGATGCCTCTCTCTGCGAAGACTGTCAAAGACAGAGCCACAGAAATGGCGTTGCTGTTTAAGGTGGAGCACATGTACTCTGATCTCCTGCTTTGTAACAGATTCTGGTGGCTGTCCAGAGGAGAGGTGCTGAAACGCTTCGCTGCATGTCAGCGAGAGGTGAAAACTTTCACGAGCAGCAAAGGGCTCACCTTTTCTGAGCTGGAACAGCCAGAGTGGCTGGAAAAGCTGCACTTCATGGTGGACATGACAGTGTTAGTATTTGAGCCCAAACGGACAGTTTTAGCCAGAGATTTACAGAGAGGCACACTTTCTCACTTCCCTCTGTAAGGGAGTGCAAACAAGCTCATGAGTTGATCAATTCTGAGTATTAGCAGTCTGCAATCACCACAGTGCAAGCATTGTTTGGGAAACGATTCAGTGAGTTCAGAGAGAAAAACCACATTATGCTTCCCTGTCCCTCCTCTGACCATCGATCCATCCCTATTAAATGTGACTGCAGGTGTAAGTCAACCTGATCTGGAGATCGAGCTGGCTGACATAGCTGACAAAGATATGTGGGTGTCCCAATTCAAACACTTGACAGGGGATGTTGCCCATAGCAGGCCAATAAGTTCAGAATCACAAACTCGTGTTTGAAACGTGTGCCATCCCCAGCACCTACATAAACAGGAAGAAATATATTTGGAGTCCTATTGATCCGCATACGTATGTGACTAGCTATTCCACCATGAACTATGTTAAAAACAAAAACTGCTCATGCCTCACAGGTGACAGTTTACAGTTCTGCGTAAAGATGAAAGTTGCTTTGTACAGCCCAAATTTGCATACGCTGTGCGCAGAGGTTCAGGAAAGGAAGTCCCATTAACCAGTTAAAATAAATATTTATGCAAATATTTGTTTTTTATTGTTTAGTGACATATTGTTTTTTCCAATTTATTTTTTAAATTCAGGTCAAGGCTCCAAAAGCCCAAAGGCAATATACGGATGACCCCTCACAATATTTTTTGTCAGCTACATGGATAATTTAAGTTCAGCTTTTTAATTCATTTGAAAGACACCTTGGACTCAGCGTGTTTCTCTTTTGTTATTAGTTTTTTAAGAGTTCAAGATGATCAAAATGTGTTTAGTACATAAATAAAATCTAATTTTCTCTGTAGCTCTTCATGGGTTTCATAAGCAACACATTATAATTGATTATACAAAGCATAAAGGTAAAAAAAACAACAAAACAATATATACAGTGTTATCTGCATTTTAGATGTCACAAAGTATTTGTGGCTCCCAGTGTTTTGGTTTTTTTTACATGGAAATGGCTCTTTGGGTGTGAAGGTTGCCGACCCCTGAGCTAGCCATTCTGGGTGTGTCTCATTGACCAGCAGCTGGTTCATTTGTGCTGCCAGACGCTCATGGAGTGCAGTCAGCTTCTTCAGCCAGTAGGTGTGAATCATGTCAGGGCCTGGTACAGTCCAGCTTTTTATACTGGAAAAGCTTCCTTCTTTAAAGTCTGGCACTGTGGTTACTGGACCCTGTTCAGGTTCGTTGCTGTGGTCTGCTCTTAGAGCCACTAGCCTTTGTGGGTTGTGTTCTTCTCGTATTGCTCTGGAAGGACACGGCCTTGGTGGTGCTGTTCATATATTGTTCCCCGGCCACTGAGAGTGCACCTTTGATGATTCCATGAAGTAAAGCTGCTATATTGCTTCGAGCTGCTGGTCAATGCTGTGAGTCTTTGCTTGGAAGTTTCCAAGGCCTCAGGTACAATGTAGATTGACAGTAAACTGACAAACTTTACTTTTATGGTTTGCTTGGTCTCTGACTGCTGGCTTACTTACCTAAAAGTCGAATGGGAATCAGCCTTTAGCTTTCATGCCCTGTTTTTGTTAAACAAGCCTCCTGATTCAAGAGACAGACTTCACTTATCCTATTTACTCACTATGTAAGTATTTAAACGACATTTTGCATTTAATCATTAGTTATTATTAAACTATTGCTCTCTTCCACAGTATCTGCTTTATTCTGTCTTTAGATGAAAGTATATCTAGTTCTGCTGAAGGTTTCTTCTGTTAAAGGGAGTTTTCCCTTCCTACTGTCACCAAGTGCTTGCTCAAAAAGGGAAGATTGATTTTTGGGGTTATCTCTCTATTATTGTAGGGTCTTCATGTTACAAAACAAAGTGCCTCAGGTTGAATGTTATTGTAATTTGGTGCTAAATAAATACAAATGAATTGAATTGATTGGTCACCTATCTCTTAAACACACTCTCAGACTTGGAGGTACTAGAGCCCAGTTAACAACAAACCTTCCCAGCAGGAATCAGTGAGCACTTGTTGAAGCCAGAAAGCCCACATAAAATATAAATTAAAAAGAAAAATATTCCCATGATCTCTGAACTGGAAACCTCTGACGATTTGACTATGGCTAAAAATTATATCCTTAAAAGTTATGGATATAATTATAAACAGAACAATTAACAAAAAGCACCACTTGTGTAGCCCAAGACCTACCAGCAACTAACATGTTCATAGTGCCATTTAGAAAGTCTATGTGATTAACAAGATATTTAGTACATTTGTACATGTAAGATATGAGTTCATTGTTTGAGAGTGTGGTAGTCGAGATTTTATCGTTTTTATATTAATTCCATATTTTATGTTTATTTAGACAGTTTTTATTTGTTAAGTATTTTGCGTGACTTCATCGAAAGTAAAGACTATTTTTGTTTTATAAAGCATTTAAAAAAGAAACTGAAATGTAATGAAATGACACAGACAAGGCACAAAGACACATAAAACATACAGATATTCATCCCCAGATGCAAACATAAACTGGACCCAAACGCAGACAATGGAGATGAATGTGGATCTTTAACAAAAACGAGCCTTTATTCTTGACTGCACAAAAAGCTACAAAACAAAAGGTGGCGAAGGAACTGTGAAAAAACAAACAAAAATCTAAACCGGGAAAAGCTCAATTAAAGAACACGAGGAACATAGAAAACATTACCAAAAACCTGAAACTGGAAACGCGGAACCTAAGACATGGAAACCTTGAGGAGGAAATGCAGGATGAAACACGGGGGATGACAAACAGGAGAAAGCGCAGGCAATCTGACAGAGGCAAGCGCACACTATATATTACACACAGGGAAGTGAGGAAATGGCAGACAAGCAGGGAACACAGCTCACACAGCTCACAATAATCAGACGAGATGAGGCCAGGTGGAAGCAAAACAGAATACACTGATGCACAGGACTCTCCGAAGTAAAACAGGAAAGGGGAACATAGAACCAAGAACACTAGACACAACACAAGTAACACCAGGGAGGCACAGAGAACACCTAAACACTGGAAATAATTACAAATAACTAATAAACTAACAAAATCAATGAATATTAATAAACATAAACTGGGAGTCACTAGACTCCGGACCCTCAAAGCAAGTCATATTCATCATAATACATGTCATTATTATTGTTATTATTATTGCTGTTGTTGTTGTTGTGATTATTGGCAGAGATGATGCATTGCAAGGCGGTCCGTGTAGCTGTTCCTGATATAACACTAACATGTAAAGTAAAATGGACTAGGTAACCTAGCATAAAAACAACGAAAGCTATAATTCACATTCAAATTTCCATTCAACTATTTAAGGTAGAAACAAACTACATTATCTAATCTTAAAAAAAAATAAAAAGCAGCAAATATAAAGTCAAGCTCACCTAACAGGAAAGACAAACAGGCAATACAATACTACTACAGTAACAAACAACATGGCTGCAAGGCTCAGTCCAGCTAAACTCTCACATTCCTGAATTTATACTGTCAGTCTGCACAAGTGTTTTCTCACACTACAGTATCTCCAACAAAAACAATTTGTTTTTACAAAAAAAAAAGCTTCTAATTCAGCAGCACTCAACTTAATTTCTCTTACAAAGGCAGAAAGCTACCTGTGGAGTCAGCGGGACTCACGTCTCCTCTCCAACAGGAGTGTGAATCCACTGATTAAATCACATAGTAGTTTGAGGATTTTTTTTGTTTTTGTTTGTTGTTTTGCAATATTTAAAGTTGATGTGTTGATTTTTCTTTTCTTTGATATTATTTTCTTTCATTTTCTGTGTTTTTGTTTTTTCAAGAAAACACACAAAACTCAACTTTGGTATTGAAATCAGGATTTAACTTGAGAGTAGACACTGTCCTCAGCAAAGTCTCTCTTCCTTGTGCTTCTCGATTTTCTTTCACTGAAGTTCAGTGCAACATAGCTTACATGGCCATCAGTTTCAGCCTGTGTAATAAAGATATGCAATAATAACAACCAGGTGAAATAATAATAATGAGTTTTTCAGTTTTAATTGAATAACAAGCATTTTCATTACTTACTGGTTGGTGTGAGGTGTCAATTTGGTCTTCCGATATAGCATTTTCTATTCATAAAGATGAATTCAATTAACATGACAAATACAAAACAGTAAAATGCATTTGATGTGGCAACTATTTCAAAATGTATTTCCTAACATATAATTATATAACACAAAACATTTAATATGTATTCATATTCATATTTAAACAATGGAAATGCTACTTGAATAACGGGGCAATCTTAGCTTTGGAAATCATCATACAACACTTACCTTTATTTTGTATTCTTTGGTTGCAGATGAGGAAAACATTTCCAATGACAGAAATGACCAAACACACTGTTATTAAGGCCAGTTGAATAAATGCCGACTGTGTTTTTTCCACTACAAAACAAACAACCAGAAAGACATATCAAAGTTTCCAAAAAAATCACTCATATGCTGCCAACATACCTTGACTTCCAGTAGTAAACAAAAAATCATACCAGCTTTCAGATCGGTTCCATTTCCAAATAATATCTCCCCACATGTGGCCACAGCACAATAGTAAGTCCCTTCATCAGAGGAGCTGATGTTCTTAGAGAAGCGATAAACACAGCTATTCTGAAGGTCAGATGGTTTTTCACATTCATTACTTCTTTTTCTGCCAGTGTAGATGATGCTAGGATGAGATTTGTCTGAACCAGCTCTGAACCAGAACATATCACGATCCTCTGCATATGTGTTGTTGTCAGAGTCAGAGAAAACTGAACACTGGACAGCTGTTGTGTCTGCTGGATTGACTGGATCTGATACAGCTGGCCACTGAACGACAGTATAGTTTGATGCCCTCTGAGTGTTTCCTGTTTAATACAAAATATAAAGCCAATCGTCAAAACATGCTCCAACACACTAATACATTTTTTGAAAGTATGCCAGTTTATTACCTTTTACTAACAAATATGTCCCACTCCATTCAGGATTAAGCCATTCAATGATTCCACAGTGATAGATTCCTTCATCCTCTTGGACTGTCTTCAAAATGGTCAGATTGCTAAATGTTTTTTTATTACATGCGTCATATCTTGATCTAACTATTTCTTGACCATACTGAGGTGGTGTAGTTCCATACAGTGTTGAAATCAGTTTGAGCTCATCCCCGATACTCTGCTTGTACCAGTGGACTTCCAAAGTGCTGAGCTGTTTATTGCTGGGTAAAGCACATGTTAGCGTTGCTGGTTCACCAAGCTGAACGATTTTTATTGGAACCAGAGAATCTGAATTAAGAGAATACAGAAAAAAAATGATGTGAAAATGTTCAAATGCAAAATAATTCATTTTATTTTCAACACATTTTTTTCTATTTGACATAATTTATCTTCATAGAATAGTTGTGGAGAAAATTAAAGAGCACTTACATCCTTGATGAAGAAAGAGCAAAGTAATCCACAGCACCATCATCATGACACTGCTCGTTGTTGAGAACATGGTCTTTCAGTGAGTGAAGGAGGCAAGATGATCATGGTAGGTAAGGCTGTAAAATGATTCTGATTGGTTAACACATATAGATTCAAAAGTACCCTTCACGTCACACTGGTCTCCTCCTGGGCTCTGTAAAACATTTCACCTCTCTTTGATATTCTGTTGTAATTATTCATTTGGTTAATTTTTACTTCTCTCTTGGTGGTTATTCGTTATTCTATTCCTTCCTTTTCTTTTCATCTGAAGGACATAAACAGTGGAACAGTCACCACTTCTGTTTGTGGTGTGTAGTGCAAGAAATAACACAAAAACATTACATATTGAATTTCTGATGAAATTTGACATCTTGACTTGGAGAAAAGCTGGCGAACAGGATGAAGCGAAGCCTTTTGCCCAACTAATGTGCAACTTTATTTATTTATATGTTTTTGCATTTTTCATAACAAACCAATCAGCACTTGCATTGAATGTCACCCATGTTAACCCCATGGTGGAGCTAGAGGTAAAGACAGAATAATGTTACCTCCAAGACCTTAGCTGGTATACACTGTTTAACTTTCTCAATCAAAATGGCATGTCTTCTTTAGATCAGCTGGCTGTATAAAGAATATCAAAATACCTATACAAAGATATGGTATATGATGACCTAAGCCATGAAATCAAATCATTATGTTCTAAGACAGTTTTCCTTTATTAGTCTGATCAAACTCTGCACAGCATGGACTGATTTCATGTCCCCTTTGAGATTGCAGATTTCAAGATCAACAATTGTACACTGCTCAAAAACTTCAGAGAGGCACTTTGAAAACATATCAGACCTCAATGGGAAAAAAGTCCTGAGGCATCTCCAACCAGATCAGGATCAGGGCATCAGTGAGCTCCTGAGCAGTCTGAGGTGCAACCTGCTGGTGTCAGATGGACTGAAACATAATGTCCCAGAGTTGTTCTAATGAATATAGATGACTTGAACATTGGGCCCATTCAATTTCTTTATCCTCCAGGACTTGCCTGCATACTCTTGCAACATGAGGCCATGTATTCTCATAGTCTGTCAGTGGATCCAAGGACATCTAATGGTAGTAAGGGTACTGTTGCCTAGCACTTTGAGGTCTGTGAATTTTTCCACGGATTTCCTTCCTCAGACCACCAGTGACTCACCAACAAAGTAATCATGCTAAATGATATTACAGGAATGTTTTCCATGGCTTCTACAGACCCTTTCCATCTCTTACTTGTGCTCAGGGTGGACCTGCTCTCACATGTATAAAGCACAGGTCACCAGTGGTGGATCCTGTTCGTCCTAGCACAAAAGAGTAGATACCAGTCCTGCTGATGGATAAGGACCTTCTATAACCTTGCCCAGCTCTCCTAGATTAACTGCCTGTCTCCAAGAATCAATTTAATTCAATTCAGTTCAATTCAGTTTTATTTATATAGCGCCAAATCACAACAGTCGCCTCAAGGCACTTTATGTTGTAAGGTAAAGACCCTACAATAATACATACAGAGAAAAACCCAACAATCATATGGCCCCCTATGAGCAAGCACTTTGGCGACAGTGGGAAGGAAAACCTCCCTTTTAAAAGGAAGAAACCCCCTGCAGAACCAGGCTCAGAGAGGGGCGGGGCCATCTGCTGCAACTGGTTAGGTTGAGAGAGGAAGACAGGATAAAGACATGCTGTGGAAGAGAGCCAGAGATTAATAATGAGCCAGCATCAATATTCTTGAGACTGTGCTGGGAGATACAGCAATCATATGTGATGTGCTATTCTTGAGGAGTTGGACTACCTGTGTAATACCTGTAGTGTCCAGTAGTAATTGAAAAATTGTGCTATCAGTTATAATTGATTTGATGCCATACGCTGATTGAAAGGTGTTTCTTTGTTGTTGTTGTTTTGTTTGTTTTTGTTTTGTTTTTAGCAATGTATGTAGGTAAAAATGATTTGAATGTGGAGAAAACTGTTTATTATTAAATGCATAAAGCTTCAAGAAGGTCTTTGCAAAAGCCCACTCTTAGATCTATTCAAAATTTGTAGACAGTGAAAAGTCATGACAGTGCAAGGAAACCAGTCAATTTAAGTCAGCGCTACCAATTCTGCCAAGAGGAGTGATCCAGTATCCATTCAGAGTACCCAAAAGCATCTGGGAGCATGAAACCAAATATCATTGGAGGTGTATGCATATATCAAAGCCTATTTATAAACGTTTAACTCTGTGTAGATAGAAGAAAATGCACATACATTATAAACCCTATTATTCTAGGTATTTTTGTGTTTATGCAATGTAATCATTCTACCTTGGTAAAATAACAGTTAAAAGAAATCATTAAAAGCTCCAAATTGCCATGACATTCGTGCCTATGATGAGTGTAAATGGGTCCAGAACGGTATATCACCTAAATAAACTTTTTCTATGCAGTTCTCATTATACATCCCTATCAAAAGTTTAAGACCACTTGAAAAATGGCAAAACAAAATTATTTTGCAAGGTTAAATCTTAACGAAGTTCCAAGTAGAGCTTCAACATGCGACAAGAAGAAATGGGAGTGAGACAGAATATTTGTTTAGAGCATGCAATATATTGAGAACAATGCTTAAAATGAAACAGGCTCTTCTACAGCTGACCTAAAGTTTAGGACCAAATCTGTGCAGAAATGTGGATTCATTGTCATTTCTGTCGGGTAGTCACACTGTCATGACGTTCTGATGGCAAAGGCAAAAAAAAAATGTTTCATTTTTGAACGTGTTCAGGTTATTAAACTGCATAAGCAGGGTCTCTTGCAGCACGCAATCACTGCTGAGGTGGGATGTAGTAAGACAGTGCTGGTGAGACTTTTTGGGGTCGGAGGATCCCATTGGCTGTCATCAAGACACTTGATGATCCTGGACCCAAATTAAGGTTGTTACTGGTGCGAACTGCAGCCCCATAACCGTCAGATGGCATCTGAGACTGAAGAGCTTCAAAAATAAAAAATGTATTCAAAGGCCTCGTCTCCTTGAACAGCACAAAGCTCACCTTTTGGACGTTGCAAGAGAGCACCAAACATGGGACAGTAAAAGGTGAAAGAAGGTTTTATTCTCTAATGAGAAAAAAACTTGATGTTTCCGATAGTTTCCAATGTTACTGGTATGACAAGCAGATCCCACCTGAGATGTTTTCTACAACCCACAGTGGAGTGGGCGCAATAATGGTCTCAGGTGCTTTTTCCTTCTGTGGAACAATGGAGCTTCAGGAGGTGCAGGGGCATCAAACGGCCGATGGCTATGTCCAGATGTTGCCGAGAGCATCCCTCATGACTGAGGGCCCTCGTCTTTGTGGTAGCGACTGGGTTTTTCAACAGGACAACGCTACATTACACAGTGCCTGCAGGATAAGGATCTTCTTCCAGAAGAATAACATCACTATTTTGGCCGGTCCTGCATGTTGCCCTGATCCAGTTGAAAACCTTTCGGGATGGATGGCAAGGAAAGTTTTTTTTTTTTTTTTTTAAAGAACAACGGTTCCAGACAGTAGATGCCCTTTGTGCGGCCATCTTCACCACTCGGAGAAATGTTCCCACTCACCTCATGGAAACGCTTGCATCAAGCTTGCTGCAACAAATTTTTTTAAGTGATTTTAAGCTAGACTGGTTCAGAGGAGCCTTAATGTAAGGTTAAATCAAAGGTAAATAAAGAAAAAATCAACTGAAGTTCAAATTACAAATTCATGTGTGTGTTTTAAAAAAAAAATGCCTGTCCACATTTATCATCACACTGGATTTTAATGTTCCATCAACTGCCCAATTTACACTCAAATTAGTGGGAGCAAAGCCTATTCTACTCTATTAATATGTTCTCTGAGATGAAAACCAACAGACTAATCATTCTTCTAATCTTTTTTTTTTAGCTACAGTTCCATTTGTATAAAGTAAATGAAGCACAAACACACAAACGGCTTCTCTAACATTAATAAGGTATAACTCATAAAGGTTTGCATATATATAGTATAAATTATTTACCGCAGTTTACAATCAACCACTGAAAAAAATGGCTGTGCCCAGATTTCTTACATATTAAACAGATACGGGATAATAAAATAATTTCTCTACTTTAACATGAAAGAAGACACTATTAGCAAAACCACCCAAAATCTAAAAAACTGACCAGTTCTTTTCCCTGTAGTATCTTACCCTAAACATAAAAAAGAATCCAAAATACTGAATGAAATAGTTTTTAATCAACGAAAGCAAGGAAACAGGTTTATATAGATAAAAAATTCAGGGATTTCAAAAATGTGACAAGACTTTGTTTTAGTTTGAGAGCCCAAACTTGTCAGCGATGAGGCAAATAAACTGCTCACAGTTAGTATTTAATCAAGGCA